ATGGAGATCCGTCTGTAGCTTTCTTCCCCAATGCCTCAGCCTCGCAAGCAGCTGTAGGTCTGCTTTCTTCCCTACGTGTCTAGTAAAGCAAGTTGTAGCAAAGATTTCCATGATTCTTTGCAACCTTGAGAGAGAGGGAGAAACAAGTCAAAGAAGATGCAGCATAGCTTTTGTCTATCAAGCGATTCAGTACAAGAAGCGAGAGGGATATTGATATTTCAGACTACTTCATTAATTTCAACAAGTTATGCAAAACTCAACTATACTGAAAGTTTGAAATGCACTACTTTGTCTTACTGCTACAGGGAATTTTTGACTCAAATCTGAAATGTGCATTACAGTGTTCAAATGATGTAATATAATTTTTAACTAAAATTAACAACCAAGGATAAACATGTGATTGCTCAAGTAGCTATCACAGGTGAAGATTTAAGTCTCCTGGAAGTGGCTCATCTTGAGCCATGTTCTCTTCCGGAGCAGATTGAGTAGTGTTCAGTTCTTCAGGTGCAACATGTGACTGCTCTCTGTTTCCGAAGAACAAAAATTCAAAACCTCTTGCATCCTTATCGTTGCGACGCACCCCTCTTCCTCCCCTTGTTCCTTCTCTGCCTCTTGTTCTACCAGCACGCTCTCCCCCTTCATCTTCCCCTTGTTGTTCCACTACGTTCTGCAGTATGTGCTCCATCTGTTGTAGTCTTTGCCTTTTTTCTTGATCTTGTACTTGTAGCTCGACCTCTACCAATGTCCATTGCTGTAGTAACCCTTGGTGGAGGTAAGTTATCCCTTTGCACAACTATAAACATATTTTCTTCTGGTAATGGACCCCGTGGCTGCATTGTTGATTGTGCGAGGTTGTCCTACTCATTAAAGAAAAAACTGAGTATACCTTTCAATTAAGCACCATAGTAATGTCATAAAAAAGAAGATTAGTATACCTTATGTAATAGATTGAACACCATAGTATTAGCGGTTTCACTTGGATCCACTGCTTGATTTAGTCTAGGTGGCATAATGTCTTGAAAAATAAAGGCATCGACATTCTAATTACCATACAAAAAAATCTTGTTCGAAAGAAAGATTAAACCTCATGTACCTCTAGTATGCTTGGGTCGTCATACTCTTCCAATTCTTCTTTTGGATTAGGCATGTCCCTCTGATCTGCATATTTTTGGCAAGTTCTCTTGTTGTGTGTAGCTGACCCACAAGCACTGCAGTGCATTGTCACTCCATGTTTGCTAAGTTTGGTGCCACCTTCTAATTCTATTAGATTTTTCTTTCTATTCTTTGCAGGTCTCCCTACCTTCTTGTCATATATAGGTGGCTAGACATCAACCCCATTCATTTTCTCCCAATGAATTTTGTCTCTCACAGGCCATATGTTATAACCATATGACTACATATATGTTTCAATCGAATAGCATTCATGCACCATTGTTTCTGGACTGATTTCATCATGCCTGAAACATGCAATGGCATGGCAGCATGGTATCCCTGTTAGCTGCCACCTCCTACAATCACACGACCTCACATTTATGTCCACTATGTTGGATCCATATTTGTCACTGACCGAAAAAATCCCTCCTCCTACAGGATATACCATACAAGATGCTGCAACCTCTATATGTCTATCAAGCTTCTTCTTCACCTTGGGACATATAGTGCCTATCCACTTATCTCTAGCTTCCTGCTGCTTTGTATAGATCCTATTCATGATTTGGCATCTTATTTTCTCAAGCATTGAGAGTACAGGCATCTCCCTAGCATCTAATATATACCTAAGGGGATATTGAAAAAATATCTCTGCAAGTTATGAGGAAAAGAAGGTGCAGCACGTAATGACATATGATTTAGAGGTAACTTACTTGTTAAAAACCTCACAATTGTTGTTCGATAGCAAGTCACATTTTGGAAAATCACTGAAGAACGTCTTTACCCATGTATCGGGTGTTAGTTCTTCAACCCAAGCAAAGGCTTCTGGACTATCCTTCTTCAATTGCTCCATGTTCTTCTCCCACTGAGGCAAATTGAGATCTGTACTCCCCACAACATCTTCGCCATTGTCTTCCTCTAACTCTTCTTGAATGCACAAGTCCTTCCTTTTAGTGTTATCCTCTTCATTAATTAACATGTCATCCACATTTTGAGCAAATAAGTCATTGTCATCAATGTCAAACTCGTAGTCATTGTCAACAAAATTAGAATCGGCATCACAATCTGCACCTACTTCCCTCTCAGCACCATCTTCTATCTCATTGCCTTTCTTGGTAACTTGTGCTAGTCCCCTCAATAAAAGTAGACTTCCTCTCCTGATCTACATGAGCAACCTGTGCAACACCCCTATTCTTCCTTTCAAGAAAATTTTGCTGTGTTTCAAGGAAATTTGAATGGTCGACGTACATCAAGATGTTCTTGCAAGTAGCACTCTCATTTATCATTGCAATGATATCAGCATCACACCTCAAAGTTCTCAGTCCATCAGCCAGTGTCTTTTCTGGCTCATACCAATAAACTCTTGCAAATGCAGCGTTCCTGCATTTTTAGAATCTCCAAAAATTCCTAGACATACAAGAGGGACCATGTATCACTGTTGCAAAAATCAAACCAATCTATCTTGTTGTCCACATATATCCTTTTGTTGCCAAGTCCACAAAAAAAAAATCCTGAATGATGTATCTCAACACTGAAGTGATCATCATGATCACCTGCAATTAATAATATACTCTGCATTAGTCCACAAATACTACAGTGCACATGAACGAAAAATCAAAATTAGCACCTAGCATAGATGTGTTCCATGGTAAATAACAGATGAGAACTGACCGTATTGCGGTGGAGCAGTGCCGGTTTCTCGGCGACAAGGCTCCATTGCTCGCCGCCACCTGCGTTGAATCGCCGCAGCGCTGCCTCGTTTCGGCGACAACGTGCTCTACTTCGTGTTGATCTTGACGTCGTCGGTTCCGTCGTGTGCCGTCGATCGAGCTGTGTATAGGGTCGTGCTCCTCGTTTTGTGGAGATCATGGGCTTCTCCGTTACAAAGTGCTATGTAAAGTCGGGCTTTGAGTCCAAGCGAGCCAACCACAAGTCATGATGCCGAGCGAGCCGACTCGAGCTGACGTTTAACTACTGAGCCAGGCTGACCTGAAGGCAATCTAAGCGTACATGCACCAAAGATACGAGCTGATCAGCGTCCACCGATGATACCTACGTACAGGTTGTGGTTTTTGGTTCGTACATCGAAAGTTTCTGTGCTAGATTAAGCAAATTCAAAGATGTTGGGGCAATTTGCACTCACCTATATGGATCCTGTTCGCTTGATCGTTTCTATAGCTTATAAGCTGGTTGATACTGTTTTATTATGAGAGAAAAACACTGTATCATAGCTGATAAGTATGATCGATACGATCAAGCGACTAGGGTGATAGTTATTGTATTTCCCGTGTAATTTACTCTTTTGTTACATTTTCTATTGTTTACTGGTTTCACCGCTTGGTTAGAGTGTTCTAGTCTTATTTTATCGGGATCCAGATTAGAGTAGTAAGCGCATAGATTAAGCGTGGTGGTTAGGTTATACCTTACCTGTGTTTGCGGCTAAGTCTCCGGATAGATTGTGGTAGGTGATGGCAGGTGGTGACTACTCTGTGCATCCTCTGTATTCCACCACGATAGGCTTAGTTATTAAATCGTAGGGCTCGTGGCAAACCTCGTCTAGTTAACCCTCCTAATTGGTAGGTGGGTTATGCCCCGAAATAAACAACTATTATTTATCATCTCTCGTTCAAGTAATAGTTACAGAATAATTTATAGTAATCCACTCCTTTCCTCTCAAAAATCTACCGAAACCCATTAGTTCTATAATTCGATCACTCCTTGTCCCGTGTGGGTTCGATACCTAGGATTACTCTTAGTGAAAAGCTACTCTGATAATTATACGCTTGTCGTCTTTTCTGTGCCACCCCTGGTGTCAACAGGCTTTACGCGCCAGTACAGGTGGAGCGTGTGTAGCGGCCTGATGGGGAGGTCCACGCCGCCGAAGACGGAGACGGAGCGGAGCAGCTTGGCCACCCACGCGCCCACCGTGACGACGCACTTGGCTCCGTGGTACGCCGCCGTCAGGCTCAGGCACCTTTTCGATGCCGATGACCTCGGTGTTGTCCCTGACGACGGCGCCTTTCGCGACGGCGAGCGACTGGAACATGGTCACGGCCCACGGCCTTGGTGGCGCTGAGCACGACGCCGTGGTCGCTGAGCGCGGTGACCCACCCGTCGTCGGCCGGGAGCAAGGCGAAGGCGCCGCCCCACCTGTTGCCGAGGTCGTCGCGCACCTCCTCGGCGCTGTCGTTGGCGATGGCGGCGGCTCGGTGTTGCCCTATCGTAGCTTTCTGTTGTAGCTTCCTATCGTAGCCGGCCATGGTGGGTTCGTGGCCACGACGAGACGGGGCTCAACTGCTCAAGCAAGTAGAGACATGGCTTCAGAAAGTTGAGAAAGGACCAAAACGAACGTAGATTGAAGGGGAAGGCTGCTCGCCTGCTCCTGGCCGTGACGAGCAGGATCTGCCGACCGGTGGCGGCGAGCTGGAATGGCCGGACGGAGGGAGCGATGGGGAGGCATGAAGCACTGATAGGATCGAGTCGACCCCAGGGTCGATGGTTCTAGAACCTGATCGCACCTCTTTCCTTGAGGGTAGATCCGCTTCGAACCGCTGATAGATTTGAGGAGCGGAGCGTATTTAGGAATGGGTCGAACCGAACCCATTGCAGGTTTAATCTAGCCAGCTATTTGCAAATTGCCATTGCGGACATCCTTATACTACTACTGCTAAGGAGAGAGAAGAGGGCAAAGAGAGGGAAGAACGTTTCCGGCCGCCTGCGGCCTACGGGCGCGAGAAAATAACGGTCAGACACAGAAACACTTGGGAGCCCCTGCTTCCGACCACCTCCACCTCCACTCCATTTGTGTCGGATCCAAAACCTCGCAAGCCAAGATACCACGACGAGCGACCATGTCGTCCTCCTTCGACTCCATCACGGCCGTCTTAGGCGATGACGACGCGCTACCGCCGGCCCCCTTCGACCCCGCCGTCGACGGACCCGCAGCCGAGGACGGCGGCGGCGGCGGCGAGCATCAGCAGGGCCTCGGCTTGCACCGCGGCCACCGCTTCGCCGCGTCCTACTCGTCCTTCGGCACCGCCGTCTCGGAGGACGATCTGGGCGGCGCCTCGGGAGACGGCGGCGGGTACGGCGGCTTCGGCATGCCGCCGTACCCGTACTCCAACGGCGGCCCCGCTTACGGGTACGCCGACAGCGGCGCGAACGGCGTGGAACATGTCATGGGCGCCCAGGACGTGATGGATGGCGCGGCGCACGTGGTAGGGGGCATCGGCGGTGCCGGTGGCAGACTCGATGAGGACCTGTTCAGTGGCGCGGCCGACGATGGGGCCGTCCTGCCGCCGCCGGAGGCCATGAGGGAGGAGGGCATCCTCCGCCGAGAGTGGCGCCGGTGAGTGACTCGTTTTGCTGTCACAAGTTCCCTGATCTGAATACCTGATCGCTTCTGGTGGCAGTGCATGCAAATTTCCACTTCTATGTCAAGCGCGATCTGGATGATTTCTGAGTTCTGACCACAAGATTGCAAACTGCGAATGGATGGCTTGATTTGCAGCCAGAATGCATTGATGCTGGAGGAAAAGGAACGGAAGGAGAGGGAGCGGCGCAACGAGATCATCGCAGAAGCAGAGGAGTTCAAGAAGTCCTTCCTTGATAAGCGCAGGCTCAACTGCGAGAAAAGCCGAACGCAGAACAGAGACAGGGAGAAGGTATGCATGCATTGCACACAGAACTGATGCCAAATGATGCAATTTGATCCTTGTTGATGCCTCTGTTGTCCTACCAACCAAACCAACAGCTGTCCATGGCAAACCAAGAGAGGTTCCACAAGGAGGCAGACCGGCAGTACTGGAAGGCGATCGCGGAGCTGGTGCCGCACGAGATCCCGGGGCTGGAGAAGAGGGGCAAGAGGAAGGAGCAGGAGCGCAAGCCGGGCATCGTGGTGGTGCAGGGTCCCAAGCCCGGCAAGGCCACCGACCTCTCCCGCATGCGCCAGGTGCTCGTGAAACTCAAGGAGAAGCCACCAACACAAATGGTGCCGCCTCCACCGCCGGCCAAGGAGGAGGAGAAGAAAGATGGCAACAAGGACGACAAGAAGGATGGTAAGCAGGCAGCTGGACCGGCCGAGAAGAAGACTGATGGCAGTGATGAGAAGGCTGCCGTGAGCGCCAGTGCTGCTGGATCTCCACCGGTGGCAGCTGAAACGCCGGCAGACAAGGCACCAGAGCAACCGGTGAAGAAGTGATTGCCATGTGCCGATGATAATAATGATATCTAGTCGCTCCTAATAATAAGAATACCTGGAAATAATGTTCTTGAGCCGTGGTTCAAGGAAAGCTACACTGCATAAATCTGTCTTTCTGAGTGCAGTTTTCGGTGGCAGTAGTAGCTATCAATCTATCTCTAACTTTGGTATTTAAGGATTAGAAGCTACTACTGCTTAGATTCATCAGATAATAGTACTAATACTTTTGCTCACTCAACCCAGAAAAGGATGGATTCATCAGATTTTGGTTGTTTTAAAAAAATAAGAGTTTGATGCTTTCGAAAATAAGATGGCACTGGTGAGGTGACTAGCCCTTATTATAGACAATAAGAATCTGGATAATAGATATTAATTAAGAAAATCTACATTATGAATAGTAATAATCTGTGTTGTTTGGATTCCTGGAACATGATATTCAGCAAGCAAAAAATATATGAAAACTCTTTTATATTTATATGCTTTTGAATAGTTATCAAGCTTGAAAATTAATTTCCCTAAAAGTCAGATTTTCTCTTTATGGGGATGCTAAGGTATATGAGGACCAATATTCATGGATCTTCGGTTTTATCCTTTTAGATACCTGGGTATCCCTAGGAATCACAGAAGACTCACAAATAAAAAACTCATTGTGGATATATTCGAAAAAAACTTAAGCAGCTAGAAAGGAAAAGTTTTGTCTTACGGGGGACACATTGTTCTAATAAATTCAGTTTTGAGTAGTTTACCGACTTTGAAGTGCCTAAGGACATTGTAAATAGGTTAGATTATTTTAGATCAAGATTTTTCTGGCAAGACCATAACCACAAGAAGAAATATATGTTAGCCAAATAGAGGACTTTATGTGTGGGGGTCTTGGAATTCTAAACCTTGAATGACAAAATGAGGGCATGTTTGGAACGCGAGAATTTGTCTCTATTTCTGCTTTTTTCCTATGAAATTGAACTAATTCCTGTGAAATTCCTGCGTTCCAAACAAACCCTGAATGTTTGTTAAGCAAGTGGTTGTTCAAACTTATAAATGAGGATAGTGTCTGGCAAGAACTTATGAAGTACTTGAAAGACAAAACTATTAGTGAAGCACGTTGGAAACCAGGATATTCTCATTTTTGGTGTGGCCTTATGAAGATAAAAGATCTTGTTCTTCATATTGGTACTTCTACATGATTTTGGGAACATAACTGGTTAGGCGACTACACACTGGAACAACAATTTCCATCTTTGTATGATATTCGCCATGTTCTGCAGCACTACTTTAGCAGTACTTTTCAGCGAACAAACAGTATTTTCCTCTACCAGCATTTCAGCATAAGCATCAGTATAAACCAAATTTCAGCGAAACGAATTGCCAGGAAGAAACATGTAACCCTTTGTCAAGTCTTTTGTAGTGCACCTTTAAATATATCGTTCCATAGAGCTTTGGTCGGGAACAAATTAACTAAGTGGAATGAACTTGTGCAAAAGTTGCATTTGTACTATTCAAGTTGATTTTGGTTTAAGACCACCACATAGTGTGGCTCATTTATTTGGGAACTAGTTGCAAGGGATAGATAGGAAAACACGCTTCCAAGTTTAGGTGGGAGAGTGTTGTTTGTTGGTCTATCTGGCTAAGTACGAATGATATTGTTTTTTATAAGAAAAGAATGCATTCTTATATGCACATTATCTTCATAGCTACATATTATTGAACTTGATTTTGGTCTCAATTACAAAAAGAAAGGGTACGGGCGACCATGAACTGGGCTTGCCGTGTTTTTTAAAACAACTGTGTTGGAAATCTTCACCACGAGTAGAATGATTTCACCACAAAGAGACTAACCGCGCCCGGTTCATGTTGGTACAAAATCCGAGTTGCGACGTAACAAAAGTCGGGTGAGATCGAGGGCTAGCGATTTGCTTCAAGAAATTTCTGCATAACCTGCTTTACAGCTCATTCATCCGTAACAAGTCCACTGTGCTGCGCCTTATCAATCTTGACGGACTTGAACTGCTTATTCTGCTCTGGCTGCCCACGCATCTCCCTGTCGAACGCCAGGATGCTGACCAAATTGACGAAGCCATCACCGTCACCGTACACAAGCTCCAGCGACGCGTCAAAGTCACTCTCCAAGAAGACTAGCTGCCGCGGCGTCCTGTTGCCCACTTCGTTGATGCACGTCATGGGCACCATGGGTGCCTGATGGTATTGCATCTTCGGGACCATCCGCCTTCTGAAAGGCTCCACGGCGTCGCGGAAGCCTATGGCGGCGAGGAAGTCTTCCATGTCGTACGCGGAGTAGTTCCTCTGCTTGGTGACCACGATGGGCTCGTCGTGCCCGAACACCTCCGGGGACGGCCGGCATGTCGGTGATGGCGGTCTCGAGGCTCCTCCACAGCGTCCTCAGGGGGCCGTCGGCAGCCGGGACGTAGATCATCTGTCCCGGCCCGGTCGCGAGGGCCGTCGCCTGCTGCAGGAAGCCAACCGACAGCGTCGGCACCACCAGGATGAGGTGCTTGATGTACCTGCGCCGCCACGACAGCGGAGCGTTCCGGACGAACTCGAGCGCGACCATTCCTCCGGTAGCTGTGCGCCAAGATGATGGCCTTCTGCCCGTGGTGTTTCTTGCTCGTTGCCTCGACCAGCGCCCTGAGCTGCTGGAAGTAGAGCGAGTAGACCTGACCTGAGAGCGCTGTCCCGGCACCGGAGGAGCGTGGCGCCAGTCGTATGGGGCTCCGAACAGGGTGTTGTGAGCTGGGGGATGCCTTGCTAAAGAGGAAGAACGAATCGAAGGAATTGAAGAACAGAATCGAAGAACAGAAACGCAGAACTAGAGCGAATAGCGTTAGTACTTAATATTACTGAGGAGTGCTTAGGAAAATAAGGGGAATTCTGTTACATTTGTTTCCTGCCTTTCTCTCTCTCGGCTGGGACTTAATACTACCTATGCCTCCCACTCAGAGCCAGTGAACTTGTTGTTGGGCTGACGTGCTCGGACCGTCCTGGCCCGCACTCCTGGAGGCCCGCTTGGGTTCTTTCCTGGTGCCTCGCCATCTTTAGGGGAACCATTCTGAGAAGCAGATGTAGCGGTGCTGACAATCCCTCCTCCTTTGATACCGGCATGACCCATGCCGGCGCTCTTGAAAAACGCTGCTTCAAGGATTCCAGCGTCTCCCAGGTGGCCAGCAACGGTGGCATTTGGGACCACTGTACGAGTACCTCCTCCACTGGTGAATCTCCCATAGTCCAGCGGTGATCAAGTATCTGTTGGACCACTTGAAACTAGGCAAGATCATCTGGGAGAACATCAGTCACCGACAACTTACCATGAGAGGCCATCAGCTGGGATACATGGAATACGGGGTGTACGGATGACGAAGGAGAAAGATCCAGCTTATAAGCTGCTGCACCAACACGCTCCAGGATCTTGTAAGGTCCAAAGAACCGAAATGAAAGCTTCTGGTTAGCAAGTGTGAAGATTGCATGTTACAACACCAGTTAGAGCATCTTTTCAATCTGATTGCTATACTCCTGAAGCTTCTGCATTTTTTCATCCCTTGTATTTATAGCATATTTTGAGGGGAGTGTCAGTTTTTTAGGCTTGATAAGTGCATGTGTAAACAAGGGGGAGAATCATTCCACACATGAAGGGAGAGAACTTTTCACTCTAAATCCACCAAATGTTGAGTGTATGCATTTGAGAGAGATTGCATTTGTTCAGGGGGAGTTGCTTTTGCTAGTGGTGTTGAGCCCGTTGCCTCTTCTTGAGGGCTAGCTGTGTTTTACTTGGTTACGTCGAGCCGTTGCCCATGTCTTTGGGGACCAAGTTTTTGCAAGTTTTGCTCATTTGAAATAACCCTGTTTTGGCTTTTCATTGGCTTTTGGTTATTTGGGTGAGTTCCTTTTCTTCTTCTTCTTCTTTTTCTTTTTCCTTTGCTCGACTGTTCGTGTGTTGGTGTGGACAATGCACTTATCAAGGGAGAGATTGCGAACACAAGGTTGATATGTGCCCTTGTGGTTTGATGTGTAATGAGTGATTGTCAATATGATTCACGTCTTGGGTTGAGTTTTGTGAACTAACTGTGGCGTGGGGCTTGTGGTGCGCATGTGTGGAGCTCGGAGGGGGTGGTCGACGGCGAGGTGAAGGTCAAGTAGGGACGTGTCGTGCCGATGGACTGGGAACGGTGAAGGACAGACGTGAGGGTTGGACCGAGGGACCAGGAGGCTGGGTGACTAGCCGCGGTGACTAACATCTGGGGATATCGACAAGCGCAAGTATACATGGAGAAGTGAGCATGTTGACTGAGTCAAGACGGCGGTCGAGCGGGCACTCTAAAAGACTTAGCAGCCGGCCGGTCGAGGACGGCAGTGACATGCGTCGAGTGGCGGGGGGACGCATATGGAGTACGCTACTGGCGGAGGTTTGATGGGTTGAGCCTCAAAACCACCGGATGTCGGTTTCGCGGGTTTATCCTCAAAAACCGGGCGGAGGTTCCAAGGAGGAACGAGACGGCATGTGGCGGAATCACGGAGGTTGCGCCAAGGCGAAGAAAATTCGTGAAGGAAGCGGGGCCGTCCGATCCAATGAAAAAGAGTTGGACCATTACGCCATCAGATCAGTGGTTTGGCTCAAAAATATCTAGAGGTTAAACTAGGATTATGTAATAGCCCTGATAAATAGGATGGAGTGCCCCATCACACTCACCTCTCTCCCACTCTCATTTCCCGAGGTCACATGATCTGAAAAATTCGTGGTATAATTCTTGTGATTTAGAGTGGGAATGGAGGCTTAAATCCTCCTGTGCCTTCTGGGATTCCTCAATTTAAGCTGTGATTTTCGTTCACCTTTTTCTCCCTTTTTCGTTCTTGGGTTGATCTCGATTTCCCGGAGCTTGGGTCAATCCCAGATAATGATTTTTGGGGATTAGGTTTGTGCTAGATTGAATTGCATCTGTGCAAAGTTTGGAAGCTAATCCTTTTGATTTGGTTCAATTTTCGTCGAATTTTTGGCCACACCGCTCTTCTGTTCTTGCGGTCGGTCTCCTGTTCTTGAGTCTGCAGTAAGGATGGCAACAGGGATGTACCCGTCGGGTATCGCCGGAACGTTCTCTTCCCCGCTACGGAGAATTCAATCCGTCCCTGTCCCCGTTAACTGTCTCGGGTATAGATTCTTGCCCATCCCCGTGCCCGTCGGGCATCGGTTGGGTAACAGATACCCGACGGGTACTGCATACCCGATAAACAAAGACACTTGGGGTCGCAGCTTTGCCATCGGAGACGTTTCTTCTTCACCCGGGTATAAGTGTCGAAGTCTCAGAGATGCCGAGGAGAAGGAGCGAGGTTGCGAGGAGGACGAGCAAAAGTGGCAGAGAGACCGAACTGAGAAAGCGAGGGGCACGAGCGCTCGTGAGGCAGACGTGCTTGTGCTGCTGGCGGAGATGGTGAGGAAAAATTGAACTAGGGTTCCTAAAACACACAAACTATATATATGATTGTTCAGATTTGGGCCAAAATACCTATGTTGAGCTTTTTTGGCCTAATACTCGCATGACAGCTCAAATAGTCGGGTTCCCCAACGGGTAACGGGGACGGGTAAACAGGGAACGTTCCCGTACCCGCTATACCCGTCGGGGATGAATTCTTGCCCATTTAGATGTCCGCGGGTAAAAATATGATCCCACCCCCATCCCCTAATAGATTAAATACCCGTCGGGTATCGGGTATCGGGGCCGTTGCCATCTTTAGTGTGCAGTGATGTTCGTGCAAGCCTGGAGCACCGGCTCGGTCGATGAGATCCTAGTCGTCGTATCTGTCTTGACCGGTGCTTGCTAGCATGTCCCAGAGCAGATCGTGATCGATTAGCTGCTTCTTTTGTTCGAGCAGTATATTTTCTATAAATATCATTAGAATGGGGAGTAAATCTATTTTTTTACAAGAGATCATTCGGGGTAAAGAAAGGAAAAGTCTCGTTCAAGAAAGTGATATATTTCCTTACTGTTTTGCAACCACTAAGACACGGCAGACATACATACTAGAATGGACGTAGCTAAAACCCATTCTTATCTCCCTATAAGATCGGCTGAATTCGGCAATACAGTATGCATATCAGAATAGAATCTGTTCTTTAATCACCATGCTCAGGTCCCTTGGAACAAATAATGCTACTTATTAACTGATTAGAATAGAATCATATGCACTGTGTACCAACACTATGGTCTGCACAAGTTTCCTGATGCATATACTAGATTGGTAACATTTCCAAACAAATCAGAGAATATTTTCAATCAAGCTCAACAGTCAAATAAGCATATGTGGAAGTCAGAAAATGTGGAGCAGCAGCAGCTAACAGGAAAGGGCACAGATACAGAACAGGGTGTCAACGCAGCTGTGTTGCAAGGTTCTCAAATTTTGCAGGGCTCTTCTTCGGCTGCCGGACCAAGTGATGTGCGGGTTGAGAACTCAGTGATAGAAACAACAAATACGGGTGCTGCGGGTATCTCTCAGAAGACAGTCACCACTAAAGTATGCAGAAGATGTGGTGTAAAGGGCCATTTGATGTTCGAGTGCGGAGCGACAGTGTTTTGTGAAATTTGCAGAAGCTCCGATCATGCCATGAGTCGGTGCCCGGTTCTCAAGCAACCGAAACCAGTAACTCAGTTGGTTGGACAGGCTGCAGATGCTCTTGCCGGTTTTCATATTCCACATGCACCAATTCAGCCAACAAAGAGAGATTCGAGGTTTTCTCTGATCTCGACTTCTAGTAAGAATCTGACAGAGGAGGATGTCGTAGCTTTTTTACATGTATTGGTTTCTGATACTTTTGCTTGGGAAGTCAAAAGGCAAAGTGGCTCTGAGTTTAAGGTCCTTTTTCCTACAAAAGGTGATCTCACAAAGATGACGAGGTTCAATGCAGAAATGAAGGGAGGTGTGACTCTCAAGTTTCAAGAATTCAAGGAAGATGAGGAATACTTTGGTGGATGCGTGTTTTGAACCTCCCAATAATTTTAAAAGAATATATGATTTTGTGGGCTTTAGGAACTTTTTTTTTGGAGTTACTCAGGATGTTGATACGGTGACTTCCAGAGCAAGTAGCTTTGGCCGATTTGCAGTGGCAGTGCTAGAACCTGAAGTAATTCCGACAAAGCTAGATGTCATCATTGGTAATAGGTACTTCCAGTTACTTTTTGAGGTTGAGCCTTATCTTCCAAATATTGGGCTGGAAAATATTTGGAACACCCGAAATGATGGCAATGCAGATCATGGCAATGGAGCACAAAAAGATACTGAGATGGGAGAGACACAAAATCATGGTGATAATACCGCCTTAGGTGCAAGTGTAGCAAATGCAAAGAACAATATTAGTATGGGAAAACAAGTAAAGGATCCGGAAGCACAGATGGATATTGATCTTTCAGAGGATGATTTATTGGGTGAGGAAAATGAAGTTAGTGAGGCGGCACGGGATTTTATTGGGGTAAAAAAAGGCCACTCGGTGAATGTGAGGACTGCAGCTTCTCTGACGTTGTTAGGTTCTTCATCAGCACCAGCTCGCTTACCGCAGCAACCAAGTCAAACGCAGCAGCAGCAGCCTGTTCAAACACAGCAGCTCACCAAGGGGGCGGGGGCACAGGCTGCGGGTGCTTTTGTGCCTACAGGTCTTGATTCACAAAAAAAATACAACCAGCAGTCTTTCGTGCTTGATGAGGAACAGGATGAGGCTCCATTGCTTCCAGATGGGGTAGCAGAAGGTGTGATTACGATTGATGATCAACACCTTGGGATCCTTTCTGATGCTATGGTAGAAGCTGGCCTGTCAGCTGATGGTGGAACAAAGAAAGCTAGGAAGTATGATGACTATGGCGGTGCTGTCAGATGGAGAGCTTACCCCAGTAAGGCGTAGCAAGCGGAATGCGGATGTCGCTGATGTACACGCTCTTGAAAAGGCAGAAAAAAGAATTGCTTACAGAAATCTCGAGGAACCCCAAGATAATGTGAATGCATTAGTTAATTCAGTTACTTCCTTTTCTAGTGATCCTATTGAGCATAACTTAGGGGTGATCGGGATTACCTTGGGGGATGGAGAAAAAGTAGTTGCTAAGTCTGTAGCTCTTATCTTAGATACGGAAAAAGAAAGATTAAAACCATCTAATGTTGTTCATTTGATTGATAAAGAATTTGAATCGGAGGAGGATGAGATTGATCCTGATACTTCCACTATCAGTCGACTCTGTGGCGACTTGACGGAGGAGGTGATGGACGATAATAGTGCAGGCCTTGATGGAGTACTTGTTAATATACCCATCAAGGTGGCAAAAAATAGAAAAAAAGAAACTCCCCAATAAGAAGGTACCAGCAAAGAAAAAATTGTATGAAGGGCTTGTTCTAGAATTGTAGAGGTCTGCGGGATCTAGTTAAACACACTTTCTTACATGACGTGGCTGAAGATAATAGACTTGATTTTATAGCTTTATTAGAAACCAATAGAAATAGTGTCGGGTTCATAAACCCGGGATCCCTCATGAACTGGCTTCCCAATAAAGGCTCGGCTCAGCAGACAACGTTGCGAACGACGCGCAACTCATGGGCCGGCCCAAATACCTAAACGACAGGCCAGAAGGGCAATCCAATCTCCGACCGGAAGGCCTGGCCGAGGAGGAACGACGCCCGCTTCCGACTCTGGCCCACCTCTTCGACCGGAAGGCCTCACTAAGGAGGAACATCGCTCGCTTTCGACTCTGGTCCGCCTCCGGACGGCCTCTCCGATCGGGAGGCCTGGCCAAACATCACTTTCGACTCCGACCCGCGTCTCTCCGACCAGGGATGCGCCGAACCCCTGCTTACAGCTCTTCTCTGACTAGCGCAATCAGAGCCGACTGGGACCAACCGACCGGGGACGCCCGCTTGGTGAGGACTAGGAAACGGACGGAGAAAGTAAGGCAGGGCACTCAAGTCAACCGCAATACCGAGGACCGTACCCTATATACCTGCATGACAGTACCAACAGGGCATGTCAGACGGGTATCCTACAACCTTCCTGGCGTGTCAGAACCCAAGCAGTGTTGTGGGCGCCGACATTTGTCCTACAGTGTTGTGGGCGCCATCAACTCCTATACCAGACAAATGCAGTAAGGCTCCCCCACGTGCCTCTGGGCATCAATAGTATGGCAGGCACCGACATCTACCATACCGGAAGAAGACGACGCAACCTCCTACATGCATCTGACAACAACAATGTTATGGGCGCCTACCATCATCTTGTACCCGACGGCATGGGCAACAAGACTTAGTAGCATACGTACTCTTTCTCTCTCACTTGTAAGGACGCCCCCTTCATCTATAAAAGGGGATGCGCTCTCTCCCAACAAGGGGGCGATCGATCAGTTCACTCACACAGCACAACAGAACCACTAGGTTCAAACCTCGAGCACACGCTCGAACACTTAGCACATAGCGGAGCTCCCGTCACTCTCGGCCCTTCAGACCAGATTCCGACCGGACCTCTTGTACCACTCGTCTTTCTCCATTCTGTTTGTAACCCCACAGCAAACTTTGAGTACCTAGGCTCAGGAATAAAGTCACCGACCGACTCAAACTAGACGTAGGGCATGTTGCCAAAACTAGTATAAACCCTGTGTCATTGAGTGCTAGGCCACCTTCTATCACAACGTACAGTAAAACTACAAATATTTACGTGTTGGTCACTTTCTGCACCGACAGTTGGCGCCGTCCATGGGGAAGACACTATACGTTCACACTTTTGGTCATCGGATGGCCCACTTTCCCGCCATCCTCGCCATGGCGGGCTCAAGCGATATGACTCGCTTCAGTTCGCTGGAGTTTCCTGCACTCCCACCTGCTGGGATGTGGGTTCCTCCAGTCTTCGAGCCGTCCTAGGCCTTCCTCTTCGGAAGCCTAGACTTCATCGCCGACTGGCTCGGCGTACTACACCTCCGCGAGGAGGCACTTGTTCTGGCGCCCATCGAAGGGGCGCCCTCCATCGGCTCTGGGACACTCGATGACTTCAACGATGAGGCGCCTATGCTTCATTTCGAGCAAACGCTCGGCTCAAACCCCGCTGTGAGTAATGTACATGCTATTATTTTACTCGCTATTTACTATCTTCCACCGATTATCCGGAGGGACCGCTTTGTCCGCACCGTAATCACCATATGACCGGTTCCCCTACGGCCTCGCGTCCCCTGAGGACTCGTACGCTCAGGGGCTCTGAAGGATGTTGGCGCCACCCGCTCTCACATCCGAATTCGTGGGAATGGCGAGCTATGCTCCCACCACTTTCTACAAACTCCTAGATGACGAGGTTGAGAGCGACAGCTCCAGCATCGGCGACGTGGCACCTAGCCACCGTCCATCCTAGGAGTGCGCTATGGTGGACACTCCGGGATAGCTATTGGTGGTAGCGGAGTCCTTGTAGACTCACACCCCTCTGGACCCTCGTGCGGGGGCCCTCGCGCTCGCACAAGAGAACACTGAGGAGCTACGACAACGGCGGCAGAACCAGCCGCCACCTGCGCCGGCGTGCTCAGGGCAGCACATTGCGCCCCATGCGCGTAACTCGGCGAGCGGCTCCTGGGGTCATGCCCGCCAGGTCTAGCGCGACATCATGGACGAGGGGAACGACCCCCACAGTTCACTCGGGCTAGCCAGAACATCGTCGTTGCGGCAATGCTTCTTTGCTGAGCCTGTCGACCCCCAGGAGCGGGCGGTCCACCGGAACCACCAGGCACTGGTGGAAACCGCCGCTGTTCAACAGGCAGAAAGCTTCGCATCGTGACTCTGACTCGCGGCCTCTCTCCCCACCAGGGGAGTGGGGACGCACCAGGCGGATCGCTCCATCCGCTCACCGCTACAGCCGCCAGGCGCGGCATAGGAGGCCACAGCTGCGCCGTGGTCTGACCTGGAGCCTGCTCCACACCGACCGCCGGTACGCGAACGGCTTGGTCCGAACCAAGATGCTAGCAGCGTCATCAGCAATCGTCATTAGGCCCGGCATGATGATGACATCCATCAGGCGGCGGTAAGGGCAGGCGATGCAGGCCCCGGCCGGAGCATCGATGGGAGCGGGGAAACGCGCCCTAGGCATGGTCGCTGGCCAGACGACCGGAGTCCCAGCCCGGATGGCCCGGGACCATGGGCCTTTGGCCGACGCATCTAGAGAGCGCTGTTCCCACAACGCTTTCGACCGCCCACCAACATCGCCATTTACACTAGGGAGACAAACCCCGGTATTTGGCTCGAAGATTTCTAGATCGCCTGTCGAGCCGGAGGGGTGGATTATGACCATTTCATCATTCAATATCTCCCCATCTACGTCGAGGAACATGTTTGGGCATGGCTTGAATTCCTCCCGCACGGCAGCATCCGCGACTGGGCGGACCTCAAGAGGGTCTTCGTAAAAAATTTCCAGGGGATGTATGTGTCAGTGTTTCGAACAAACACCGGCAAGTAAATTTATAATTGTTGCGCGTTAGGCCCGGATGGTGCACTAAAGGACACGAGGTTTATACTGGTTCGGGCTGAACGTCCCTACGTCCAGTCTGCTTCTGCTCGTGTTATTAGTACCGAAAATGGTTCGTAGTAGGGGGTACAAATGGTTGAGAGAGGGACGAGTCCCAAGTCTCTGATGGATTGGTCAAAAGGGCGCCGAGAGCTTGGTCGCTGCTCGGCCATGTGTGAAGTGTCGTGTGTGTTGAACTTATCCATCAAGAGTCGATCCCTTTAGTGGGGGGCCCTGCCCTCCTTTTTATAGACCAAGGGGGGAGCAGGGGTTACAGATGGGAGAAAGGAGAAAAACTAGAGGCCAAAAAGCCCCTCCGAAGGTGTCGGGCCCTCCTTTTCCGCTGAGCCAGCCTCGCTGACATGGCCAGATGGTGTCAGGGATTGGCATGTTCGCCGGATGCCTGTGTGCTGACGACACCATGCCCTTACCGGATCAGCAAGTGGTCACGTCCCGTCCCGCCCCTCCGGGCAGCGTGTCGGACAAGGGTGTTAACCTGTAGCCCTGTGGGGAGTGGATGGCACGGTGACTGTACGTTCATCACTGTAGAGGGCGCGAGTCTCTTCTTGGACCATAGTGGTTGTCGTATGTCTATGTCAGGTTCCGCGTCCGAGGGCTAAAGGCGGAGCATACAACACTATTCGGACTCTGCCACGCCCGGAATAGCCTAAGGCGCCCGTCTCGTCGTACCATGATGGCACTTTCCTGCAGCGGTGCAGGGCATGGCCCTTGGTACTGCGTTTGACTTGAGCGTCCTGTCGTACCCTGTGCTCGTCATTACGAAGGGGCAAGGTGTAATCGTTGGGTGAGGCGGACTCTGCCCCCGGTCGTCGGGCAAGGCGGAGCCAGCCCTCGGGGGTCGGGCGAGGCAGAGCCAGCCCTTGGAGGTCGAGCGAGGTGGAACCAGTCTTCCGTCGTTCGGACAAGAAAAGCAGTAGCGTTCCCATCTGATCGGAAGTGTCAATGTTCGATGGTCACTAGTTCCACCTCATTAGGTACCCTGGTATTAGGTCCCCGACAGTAGCCCCCGAGCCCCCAGGTGATTCGGACAGAATCGCCCGGGGGGTGTTCCAGTTCGCCAGAGGGTGTGCGCGAGCGCACCCGATGGGTGTAGCCCCCGAGCCCCCGGGTGATTTGGGCAGAATCGCCCAGGGGGTGTTTTGGTTCGCCAGAGGGTGCGCGTGAGCGCACCCGATGGGCGTAGCCCCCGAGCCCCCGAGTGATTCAGGCAGAATCGCCCGGGGGGTGTTTCGGTTCGCCAGAGGGTGCGCGCGAGCACACCCGATGGGTGTAGCCCCTGAGCCCCCGGGTGATTCGGGCAGAATTTTCTCAGGGGTTGTTTCAGTTTGCCAGAGGGTGCGCGCGAGCACACCCAATGGGTGTAGCCCCCGAGCCCTCGGGTGATTTGGGCAGAATCGCCCGGGGGGTTGTTTCGGACCCTTCGTGGGTAAGGCTATGAGACTCGGTTTCTGTCAACTGGATAGCTTTAAGGGGACCCTGGTATCCCGTTCGTGAGGATTTTGTCCAGGGTTAGCCTAGCTGGGGCTCGACCATGGATCGAGGCCCTACTGATGCTCGCGTACCTAGGTGTTAGTCGCCCATGGGCCTGTCCCTCGTTGGGATGGCCATCGAGACTATCGGGCAGACCCTTGGGCTTTCTGGGCCCACACGGGCCGGAGAGAAGATTTTCTAGCCCGTATCCCCTCCGTGGGGAAAGAGTCCGATCCGCTCGAGAAGGTGAACTGTCTGGGGCGATTTTGGTGGGAAAGGATAGGGATCGCGGGCGCGTATCCCACGACGTGATGTGGCGGCATGTCGTGGCGGGCT